TACAGGAGAGTGAAACAAGAAGAATATAGCTGTCAGCATGTATTGCAGATAGACTATTTGAATCAATGGCACTCACCACGCGGGGTCCCATAATCTCCCTGCTGCTCCCCTGCATTGAAAGCAGGGGAGACCATGAAACAAATCCAGCTAGCTCTGGAGTTGTAGGTAGTCTATGCTTATATGAGGGAACATAGGTCCTAGGCATCTTCTGTGAAAGGGTATGTAGGAAATAAATTTGAATTCTTTGGCTGCCGCTCACTTTGAATATTTATCATTAAGAATAACAAACGGTGCTTGGAGTTTCAAAGCACTTCAAAACATCAATTAATATCTTAACACATCATCTTTCTCTGGTGCTCATCTGGTAATACATAAAAAAAATTTAGCAACCAGACTGGAAAAAAGATTATAATTTTAAATATGATCAAAGGAAACCAGGAAGAACGAGTAAGAGAAAGAGATGGAGAAAAACAAATTGTTGCAAAATTAAGTCATGAGCAGAGTTCTTACCAGTTTTCTGCCCAATGGTCAGTGCTGTGACTTCAGAAGTGACATAAACCAGCATATTTGCCCCTTGTAATATTTACTCCACAGACCTTGGAGACCATCAATTATAGAGTTTTGCACTGGTGAGTGAAGATCTGGGCCCCTCCAAAGTGTGTCCTAGAACTGTCTGCTGTCCTCTGCAACAGCTGAGCACAAGACCAAACGAAGGGCCTACAACTGTTTATTGCTGGTGAATTCAACAAAAAACAATTTATATTCATCTATCAAGGAATATGCAAGTGGAAGCAAATATTATGGTCATGTTCATTTGTTTCTGATTACAAAATGTATGTAAATCTATATGCAAATTAAGTGCAACCATCAGGCTCATGGCAAAGTGCCAAACTAGCCCCTTGTATTGCAAAGATTAGGGTGGCTGGAAAGAAGATACAGTGACTGCAAGTGAGGCTAAGCAGTCCCTTCAGATACAGCCAAGACTGGGCTGCTGCGAAGGGGCAGGAGGCGGATAAATCCTACAGTAACTTGTCACTTTAAGCGAAGCTGAGGGACTATAGAAAAATCTGTTCCCGCTGCAGTTAAAAGTGTGATAATTACAGAGCAACGGGCTCCTCTGTCATTCAGCAGGCAGCATCCCCAGGAAATCTTGCTCTGTAATCAAGGGAAGAGGTGCAATCAAGCCCCTATTCAGGCTTCGTTTAGAAACAGCCCCTGCAGGCAAGACAAAGACTTCAGCATGGTGCTTTGTGAAGTTGGTGATCACATCAACGTCTTGGTTCTGCAACTACAAGCAGTTAGTATCATTTCTAAGCACATCTTCTGTTCACCTGTCCTCACAAAGTCCAGAAGGAGTCTTGGAAGAGGGTTGAAGTCTTGGGCAAAAATACAGCAGTATTGGAGGAAGAGAAAATTTCTTGCAGACTGACAGCATGATCCTGAATGAGCAGATAGGAACATGCTCATCTGGCTTCTACAGCAGCTCAGTTTGCAAAATTTCATGGAGAAGGTTTTTTGGGTTTTTTTCCAGCAATATGAATGCATCTGTGCTGCTCAAATTCTACAGGAACATCATTCTCTTGGCAGCAGCCTGGTCCCACAGAGACTGATGAGGTTTATTAGAGGAGAAGATGTCTCTGAGTTCAGCTTTCACGTCTAATGCCACCATTGCCCAGAAACATACGAACTAATTACTACTCAAATCAGCCATCCTTTGTACCCTACAGAGCTGTCAGATTCAATGAACCAGTTTACTCCAACTGCAATAAAAAAAGTCTCACATTTTATTCTAAACAGCCAACCCTTACAACGTGTGCACGCCATTTGCACTCCCACTGTATAAACTCAGACACAGAAACTGTACCTGCTCAGCTACCCACCTGGGCATGTTGCTGCCATGACAGACACAATCCTGCTAACTCCAGATGCACATGAAGTGTCAAAATCTTTTCTGCACACAGGGGGCACATTATGGACAGGATTCCTTGTCTTGTCTGAGTATGGAGTGGTTGTTCTCTGTTGGCATTCACTATAACTGGAACTGCACTTGGACTTACAGTAGCCCCTAATACTGTAAGTGGAGCTTCATTCCATCACACTAGAGAATCAGCAGGTTCCACTCTCTATCCACTCTCTAAAATCTATCTCTGGCTACAGAATAAATAAGATTGCTGTGGTTTTACCATCTGCAGGCATGGGTATCAGTCAATAGCCAAGTAATGGCCTGGACACTGTCAAGAGAACTCATTATTAAAAAAGTACATATTACATTTAGCTGTACAAACAGAACTTGTTATTGATCAGATCCCACCAGTTCCCAGTAAAAGAGCCAGCTCTGGTGACAAAATGAAAATACGCACACAGACTGCAGACTAGTAAATACAGTAATGGAGTTAAGGATCCCTCCAAAAAGGGAGTTGTTGATATCCAGTTGAAAGAGCACGTCTTTTTCAAAAATGAGACTGGGAATAAAATAACCATGTTACTTCTGCAAACATCCAAAGGTAGGATAAGGAAACAAAACAAAAGTGAACACTTCTGACAACAAACATTTCAACCTCTTGGGGTTGGGGGGGAGCAAACAAAGAAAATACAAGTTGTTTAATGGCCAATCAAGCCACAGGCAGGAAGAGCCTATATCCAATTGTGCCATTCCTACCACATCCTACTGTTTATCAGCGGAGGTTCTGCCACACTCACAGAATTGAAAGACATCATCTTTGGAGTTTGCTATATTTTTCAAAGGTAGATAAAAAGGTACCTAAACTTAATTTGGTTCCTGTTTTGTTTTCTTGTCACTTTTCTTTGTCTGCTTGTTTCCACTTCCCACAATCTGCACAGTGTACCATTTCTCAGCAACAGCATTTCATACACAGAAATCACCAGTGTTACAGCATAAAGAAGTCATAAAAGAAGGCTGATTATAAAATTCTAATGTAAACCAAATATACATGTTTTAGTAATACATGACAAAACAAGAAGAACCAAGCAGGATAACGACTGTGGAAATCTCTGCGTTTGATCCATTGCAAAAGTTGTCTGCACAGCATCTTCTCTGAGAGTGAACAGACACCAACTAACAGTAAGTTGAAAATGTTTACTTAAGAAGGCACATAGTGACAAACTTCTTTGCTCACCCTTAATAGAAGGTTCAGTTGGAAACTGATGAATCACTATAGGAAACAAACAGAAATGGTGACTCATGGCTTCAAAAGGTAACAATAGCACTGCTTGATGCAGTCTACAACTGAAACATCTCTGGATTCATTAGAAGATGGATTTCAGATTGTTCCACCCACCCAGGAAATGCAGAAACTTCACCACTTGAGCCTTGGTTAGAGCTCCCACAATTGCCCCACAGGTACATGGAATTCCTGCTCACTTACAGTCTTTTCTCAAGATGTTCACTGAAAACCGTATGCAGTTGATGTCTTGAGCAGCTCCGGTGGAGTCTGGATCCAATAGCCCACCTCTCGAAAGAGTCTTACAACTTTATGTTTCAGGGACCACATGCCTGTGTTGCTCTTGCAATCTTCCATCACCATAACTGGCATTTAGACATGAGGTGTGTTTGTTCTCTAAGTGTATGAGGATCAGGCCTGGGAGGCCCAGCTCCTGAACTGCCCAGTCACACCCAGTAGTCTCTCGAGCCCCATGTAACTCATGGTTCAGGCACAGAAAATAGTTCTGGCTCATTATTAGTTTGGACTTGATCAGTTCAGAGCAAACGGTCAGAATTTTGGTGTTCGGGACTTCACAGACTCACAACTACCGTCTAATGGTCATGTACTGTTACTGTGCTGTTTGGATGTAAAACAAATTTTCCGTTATCATTAAAATCACCTTAAAATGAATGCACATATGGATGTTATGTTTGTTTTTTAAACCTTCCCTTCCTATAGAAAAATATTTGCTTCTCCATATATACTGTAAACGTAAGCTGTAGGGCTTTTTGTTTAGATATCAAGACTATAAGGACTATTTTCAGCACTTCTCACATTCTAGATACTAAACTTCAATTATTCTAGTTTTGTTGCCAAAATAAGTGAACAAATGCTAGCTGTGAAAATATATTATTGCAAGTATTTCCATTTTGACAAAATTCAGGTTTGTTTTTTTTTCCCTTGAGATTGGACACTTCTTGTCCAGGTTTAATCTTTGGCTTAAGCTCAGATTCTTGTGTTTAAAGCTAAATGTCACAAAAAATGGTCTGATGAGATTCTCAAACTCCCACTGGGACTTCGAGTTGACTTACTTAAGCCTCCTGCACATACAGAGTTAATTACCATCACACTGCTAAAGACCAAGGGAAAACCCCTGAAATACAATTCAGCATGGGGTTTGCATGACTTAAAACTTTCAGACTCAAATTCTAAAAGAGAGTAGAAACAATGTAGAAACATGCAAATCCCTCTTCTCTTTGCAACACTAAGATCAATTTAAAAAGCAATTTAAGCAATTTAATCAAGGATGCTAAAACAATCAAGGTGCCATTCAGCAATTAGTATGCAAGCAATTCAAGGGAAGCATGGGGCTTCCACAGACTAGCAACAGCCAACATCAAATAACGTATGCAATGTCCTGTCAATCAGTTATGTTAGCCATATATACATGGCTCGTGTTTGCTGACACTTCACTCAGTTTTCAGGGGCACGGGGTAGTGGAATAGCCATTGCTTTTACCAACACTAACCTAGGGTACGTCTCTATTTACCAGTTTATGTTCTCTACCCTTCGTAAGAAGTTGCTGATGAAATGAATGACGACGATAAAAATGTGTCCATGCTACAAATGCAGCATCCTTTCAGAAAGGCGCTTCTTGCAATTGTTCATGCTATCTACTCCCATTTCATTACTTCCAGCTGGAATAGGAATGGTGGAACTTTAATTCCTCTGACAACCACCAGTAGGAATAAGAACTCCGTCACAGTCCTGCTAAATAACAAATTAACTCTTTGGATTACGTAAAGATCAATGGGAAGCATAGAAGTATTCTCTTACCTTCAGAACACAGCTTGCCAGCATATCCAGTGGCTGAGCAGTCACAGTGTGGCTCGCCATCCAGAAGGAAGCAAGTGCCACCATTTTCACAGGGGTTTTCTGAGCAAAGTCCTTCCGTTTCCAGTCGGACCCCTTGACTACCCAGGAGCTGTGGCTCAGAGTTGCCGTATTTCAGATCCAGGATAAATCCTTGAAATGGAGGCTCACTCAGAACACCATCAAGAGTCAAGGCAGCAGGACGGATGTCCAGTGGGACTCCACCAACAAAAAGGTCACTGACGATATTCATATACTGGCGTTGCGGACGCACCTCACCCGGCTTGGCCTCACCATCCAGCACTAGCACCGTCCGAAGGCGATTGCGGCTGACCATCAGGAAGTGCCAGTTGCTATCATTTACCTGCTTGTCTGTGATAACTGTTGTCTCTGCACAGTCCACACTGAACTGGAGCTGGATGCGCCCATCAACAAGGGACAGACACAGGAAGTCACAGACACCACCATCATCAAAATAGAGAAGCAGCCCAGCAGAGACGTTGGTCTTGAACTGGAAGCTGAGTTCACTCCTAGTGCTGGCATCCCAGCGGAGGTAGCGGGCCCACTGGTTGGGGATGCCCATGAACTCCAGACCCAAACAGAGACCCAGCAAAGAGCCCAGCAGCAAACTCACCTTCAAGGTGAAGTAGACAGAATGCAGAGTGAAGCCCATTGTTTCAACCTGCTCTTCCCTAGGAGAAAAACAGAAGCCACACTACAGGGAGGAGAACCCCAGCAGTCAACACCAAGTGTTAAATCCAAAGGGAAGAGGAGGAGAGCAGAAGGAGTGACAGAGTGGGAGAGTAAGTGGAAAGTGAGATAGTAAGTTCACGTGACCAAGAGGAAATGTCTCCTCTGCAGGGAAAGAACTCAATTATCCTTAAGGATCCAGATGCTTTTATCTCAGAAGTGCAGGGTATATGAAGAGACTTCTCCAGATGGTACACTTTTGTGAAGGGCAAAATAACCCACAGTGATTTGTTTTGGTAGAACACAAAGGTGACACTGGTGTTCCAGGAGTAAGGAAAGGGAGAGCCAAAGTCCAAGCCTAAAATTCTTGTTTTCTAGAAGTGATGACAATATTGGCAGTGGTGGCAGTGAGATAGAAGAAAGAGCGAATTCATAAAGCATGTGAACCTCAAGAGGGCAAAAATAAAGTCAATCTTCATGATGCACTGGTGGATACCCAGCCCATAATTCACTGATTGGCACTCACGGAGCTCGCAGGACCTGTGGGATCAACAGAAAAAGAAAGGGAAAAGTTAGTCCTATTACTCACCATATCTTTACCCTGAAGCTTATTAACACCTTGTGCAATAATTCATTTACACGCTTCTTCACGTTTGCAATTGGCTATGCAATTCTCCAAAGCAGCAAGGACATCTGTGTTCTCAAAACTAAGAGGACCAAACAGAGAACTCACAAAGTGATGTGCACACATAACAATGCTGAGCAATGTAAAAACACACCACATTATTTAACTCTGCTGATGCATGCAATCTCATTGACTTAACTGAGAAATGGTGCTGGAGCTTTCCCAGGAACAATTACCATGAAAATGCTCAGGGCAAAGACCAGAGTTCCTCAGAGTTTAAGATCTGATAAAGGGCAAGAGAAGACATTATCCAAACTTCCCATTCCATTGCTTACATTATGCTTCCTAGCACAGCAAGCAAGCATTAAAGAAGACAACCCTGCCATCAGCCTGTTATGTAATAGCTGCTTTTACTTTATGTGTCTCACACACTTCAGAGACTCCAACATGGACCTCTGCAACCCGGAAACATGTGCTACGCAAATTATATATGGCAACCTGCAGCTTAGATGATAGCAAACTTGCAGCTTAGATGGTAAGAACTGTCTTAACACTTAATCACTTACCCTGGTCTAGTTGTTTGGCAAAAAGGCCAAGTTCACCCCTAACTAACACCAAATAATTGTAACTGCCTTTTCTGAGTTATATTTGTTAACACTGGAATCTAACTCACTTCTGCATATTTGCATGTGGGTGACTGTATGCCTGGTGTAGGAGGATGTTTTAAGTGACAAGTAAAGACAGCACAAAGCTATGCTCATTCTTTGAAAAGTCTACCTAAAAGGAAAATAAGTTTTCTATTAACAGAGGTGTTTGTTCACAAAGATGGGTTGGGCACAAGAACAGCTCTGGAAATGGCCATTAGCATAGATATAAAGCAGGAAAGGAGGTGATGAGAATCAAGGCCTTCAGCCTCAGAAGCCAGTATGAACACAGTTTTCACAAATTGGGACACAAATATTGTGAGGCAGTATTTGCTTGGGAAAAATATTTTGTGCTGTGGACAGTGAGAGTTGCTGGGGTTGCTGTTGCTCACAGCAGATGCCTTTCAACCCCACTGCCCACCTTGCTCTGAAGGAGAAGGCCCACAGACACTGAAGAAACAGGCAATGCTGAGAAGTTTCTGTTTGGTAAGGGCAGAGGTTGAGCTGGAGCAGAACCACTAGGAAACCGAGTACAGAGTTCATGTAGTCACAGCCTCACCTGCCTTAGTGACCTGCAGAAGCCGTAAGTCTCCAGAGCTGTCAGTCTGATAAATTTAGTTAGCATGAAAAACAAGTCACTTCAAAAACAAAAGAGATCAATTAAAAGAAAAACCGCAAGTTGGAGAGAAATGTGAGTTTTCAGTGCCCAGTGGAAACCATGCCTGTTCCCTGCAGCTGCCTGAGTGGAGTGTGTTATCTAAACTGGTATAAACACAAATAAAATCAGTCAAAACTAAAAGGAAGATAATTCCTTTTAATTGTTAACAGTTTGGTTGAGAAGAATGGAAGGAGGAAAAAAGGAGATGTTAGGAGAGGTGTAAAATGAAAAAAAAAAATCACAGATCCAAATGCTCAAATCATTTCTCTTCCGAATGATGCTGGCTCAACTGATGGGGGTTTTGGGGGGCCCTGTAAAACCAGTTGGAAAAAAAATTATGTGGTTGTTGTCCATTTACCTTTCTTCTCTGTGCTCCCTAGTGGATCCACTAAAATAGCCTGTAATTTATGGAGAAGGAGAATAGAGTGAGAGGAAGGTAAGAGTGAAAGTGATGACCCAAGCCTGGAATTACTGATGAGATGGGAATAGGAATATCATAATGTGTGTAAATTAGCCAGCGATGTGCTTCTGGCAGCTCACACATTCACAGTTCCCTGAAACATTTACCACCACTGTAGTAAAATTCACTGCTCCGTCAGACAGCTCTATGCTCACCCTGAGCTGAGAAGGGAGGCAAGCCGAGCATGGCACCAAGCACTCACAGAGACCCCAAGGCAGCAGGGTTCTCACCGGAGCTTTCAGTTCTCCTGCGCAGGGTGAATTGCACAATCTGCATTAAAGCCAGCCCTCACTCTTACCACACTTCTCTGCCTGTTTTAAAAGCCCAATTCTTTGATAACCAGTGAAAGATGCTGTAAATCACAGCAGCAGGTGTGAACATGATAAATAACCACAGCTGAGATGTGTGTCCATGTACAGTTCAAACACCTGTCCAAAAAGCCTACCAATCTCTCCTAACCCCAGGTTGCTGAAACCCTATGTTGCACACACAAAGAAATCTTGGTCTCCATGGGTCACCTCAATCCTTGGGTTATTTTAAAGCTACAGTAAAGGGAGTAGGCTACCTCTGTGGTACAGATTTCTGTAATGATACAAGCTCATTAGGAGAACACAAAAGGCACAGTTAACAGGGGAAACCAGGCAGAAACAGTTAAATAGGAATAGCATTGTTGAATGAGGGAAGCCAAGGTAATCCCTCTCTGTTTTGATTGAGAGAAGCCAAGGCAATCCCTTTATAGCTGTTTTGAAAGAAGACACTGCCTGCTCTGTTTCAGAAGAGGAAGATGACGTAAAAAACATGAAATATAGGTGTCACTGCTGGGTGCTTCATTGCCTTTTAGACACTGTAGCTCAGATTTTGGGAAGGCTGCCCGCACCCAGCCACTAGCAGGATGAGGCCATCTGTGGCTCCTCCAGAATTCTGTCAGCACACGTCATTCCTGACTCACAGCACTTCCCATTATTCCAGTTTTGTGTCTCAGACACTTAAGTCTGTGAGAGCAAATCTCATTACATAGTAGCAGGATCTTCAAGAAAAACTCAGAAGACCCAGTGCCCTTTATCGCAGGAGGCAGGATCTGAATCTTAACCTTGAGAGAGTAAATCCTGACACACCAGTTCTGTGTGCCTCACCCATTCCCACAATGATCCTCCACGACACACTGAGAATGAATAATTTTCTGCTCTTACCATTTTATTTTTAGCATAAATACTACCCTAGCAGCCTCATACAGCACACTGCTACCATAGCAATACATTACAGTTTGGGACAATAACTATAAAATCTCAGATTATTTTCTTACATATTTTAACTCTGAGAAATCTCAAACTTTGTCACAGCACGATTGCATCTTGCAAAACAAGACTTCACGATGGATGCCAGCAAGCAAGTTAACTCCACTGCACTTCTAACAGCTTGTACCACCTCCCTGGCCCAGCTGAGAGCTGCGACAGAAAGGAACCTGCACACTGAACAGACAGCTCAGCACCTCAAACAGGCAAAACCCATCGCAGGAAACACACGCACCTGCATCATTGAAACGTCCCACTCACAAGACCGACAGAGCTGCACAAGTTCCCCCACTGGGGAAGGGAGGCACCCCCACCACCACGCCGTGGGCAAGTGCTACCCAATCCCCGCACACTTCCCAAACTTGACAGCAGCCTATTAATGCCGGGTCAGAGCCATCTGCTCAGCAGCCCACGGAGGGGGTCTCGCCCTTGCTTTGGAGTGCCTCTCAACTGCTTATCAGCTGTATGTGGAGAGTGAGTGACATTATCTAATTGCCAACTAATTTCCATAATTACTGACTGGCACACTCTGTATGCCGGGTTAATATCTTTGAAAACGTCTCACAACAGACCTGCTTAGGAAAGAGGGTGAAAAGCTGGGCACAGTGCTGCTCTGAAGCTTATTTACCCAACTGCACAGAAAGGTTGCAGGAGATGGGTTTGTCACTCCCTGCCCTCCCTCCCCCACTGCCTCCCTCTCTGGCTGCTAATTGCTTGGGGATGGACTTATTTGTATTTGAAAGTGTAATTTTCAGCAATTTCTAGAGCAGAGAGAAGAGAGTTAGATGAAGCCGAAGACAGGCTAGCTTCCCTTGCAAAGCCCTGCCACTGCAGCCCAATGCAAGCCTATGTAAGCATCCTGTTATTCTACCTCAGGATGCTGGACAAAATCCCATTGGCACACTGATGGGAAAGGTTTACAGACCTCCCAGTTTTCTACTCCCTTCTGTAACTGGAACTATTCATTATGCCACAATTTGTGTGGAAGGAAAAATATGCATTGTCACCTAAGATCCATGTATTAATACCCCATGTGAACTCACTTTTGTCCGTGCCTTCACTGTAAAACAAGAAAAATCCAATGGCTTTATTTCCCTGGCCCTAAAGAAGCAGAGGACTTTTAGGAAGGGGTAAACAGGACCCTAATTTGGCTCTGAGTCCATGTATGTTCCTACAGTTGGCCCAAAGCACAGCAAGCAATCAGATCATTACAGTTCTATGACATATGTTGCTCAAATAATCCAGTAAAATTCACAATCAATAACTGATATTAAAAGTCAAGCTTGCTAGCAGCAGAGAAAGGGGGAATTAACAGTATTTATTCAGTCTGTCTTCACTTATCCAGTTCTCTAGTGAACAACGGGTTCCTTCTGGCTAACACTTTGAGTGTGGGTCTCCTCAGAGCCCCCTATCTCTTATGCAGAAATCTTTCTGCCTGGTCTATCCCCAGCTGAATTGTGGCTAAAATCAAAGGGTGAAAAAATAACAAAAAAAATAACCCTTCCAATGAAAAATGTACATGTGAAAACTGTGAGTTGTTACTGTCGCTGTGGAAAAAAAAAGAGCACAAAAATCCTCCTATACACAGCATCCTCAGCAAGGATGCATGGTGAGATGTTTACAGAGAACTGAGAGGGGACATGGAGGGTTTGAAAATCAAGAGACTAGAGAAAACCACAGGGATTAATTTAGTTTTTAATTCCTCTAGCAGCATTTGCATCTCAGCAATAAATCTTGACACTGCACCATCCCCTTGCTGGGATGGAGAGGACTCTGGGTGGTGCCAGGGGAGCTGAGCTGAAAGAACTAGGATGAACATAGAGGCAAACAGCTTCAATCTTCATACAATTCTATGATTCTC